AGCTGCATTTTACATCGACAGTTTTAAAATAATCTTGTTTTATGGAAATTGATTTCTTTCAGCTAAACGTCCAGTATTACCTCTGACCTGACCTGAGCACAGTGTGACAACTTCAATAGTATATAGACAGAGTTATGATTTATTTAATAACATCACTATAAGTGTGTTTCCCTAAGTATATATGTATGTACCACATGTTCACTACAGCTGCAACTCACACGTATACATGACCTCTAGATTATGGGGTAAAAGACAAGCGCTAGCGGATGGCGGGTTTAAATTACATACATTAGAAGTATTATTTCCGTACGTGTCTTTAGGAATACTTTGGTAGGCTGTAAAGTTAACATTTATTAATACAGACACTAATAAACAGGTGTCCTTTATTTAGGTTTTGTAGATTTACACATAAGTACAATATAGTTAAAAAAGCTATCTAATAATGTGTTTCCAACCATTAAACTCGAAAAAGGGTAGTCTAATTTAACTAATATGCTCCTGAAGAGGCATACAGGAAAAACTGTCATGAAAAAATGAAAGCTCGAAGAATGCCAGCCAACTAGTTCTGCATAAAAATGTTGACCAATCCAATTGTAAACTTCGTAGAACCGAGCTGAATTATTTGATTTACACATTTAAAGTGATTTAGTCTAAAGCTGTTAGATCCAGCCAATATTGTAATATTATATTAAGAGTAGGGCGGAATAAAGTTTACTTAAATATATTTGTAGTACGAACTGTCCTTAGCACTTCTGGTTACCGACCACAATACTGAGGCCCAAACATACCGTGTAATAGCTCAATCGCTGAACACATAAATATATAAAGGAGCCATTAAGCAACCAGCACGCAACGCCTCGAGCTATCCTCTACTATATCACACCGCCCGCTAATTAACAATTAATTCATTGCAGTTTACTTGTACCGACAATTTCATAGATTCATTGTGAACCCCACTTGCCCCGACACTAGATAACGACACATAAATATGTAGGTGATAGCTAAAACATTAAATTAACATAGTAACTCGATAAAATAATATATAGCTAACGGTAAACGTCTTATACTTGCTATGTATAAGTATTATTTGTTTAATAATTTCCTGTACGATTATGGCTGCAGGTATCAGCAGGTATGTTGACATCGATTGGTTAAAAATGAACTTTTAGTAAATCCGGCAAGAGTCATTATCGAATGGAATGGATTGGTTTAACTACCGATGAGTTACGATTACAATAGATAATAGTCCAGTAAGACAATAGTGTCGGTTTGATATCTTCATTCGCAGTAGTAAAGTTTTCGCGGCGACTCGTCGCCAGTTGTACTTGACAGTGTACTTGAACATCTTTACATGCCTGGCAATGATACATTGGATAAGTGTTTCGCTAGACGTCACAAATGGCTCCGTTAGGATACTAGAACCATTCGTCTAAATTCAATGCATTCAACACTAATATATTGTACAGAATAATACACTGAAAGGGAATGTGGTAGGTAATAAAAGTTTGTCGTATTTGTTAGCATGAATAGGTTTATACGATTTGTATTTCAGTAATTAAGCATTTCTTTGGTGATTCAACAGCGGACTTTGGTGTTTAATTTATTTGTCCAATTAAAGAAGGGTTTTCTGACTAATTATTGCGCTGTGGTTTAGTGTAGGTAACCAGTATTTGAAGTGGTTTACTATTTTAATCTGCTTTTAATTGGAAAAGTCCTGACTTTGTAGTTTGTACATCTGTTTCGCTGCTTCTTTTGTTTAGCCATCTTCTATTTTCCACCTTGAACGCTACTTCTCTAAGCAAACAGCAAAATAATTTTCCGAATTTACTACGAAAAATAATTTCATCAAATCAACAAGCCGCACTCGTCAATCCTTGACAAATCACAATGTCTATTTAAACGCCTTAAGAGGCTAAACGTATTACGCATTGTAGTATGATTTAATTTGACAAAGTGGTTAATATGGACTCTGATTGTCCACAATTGCTGAGAGCAACTGAGCAATTCCTCACATCAAGGGAACAGGCCGTAATTGATCCACCACGCGATCCCAGAACCTATGTACAGATTCGAGGTCACGTCTTTGATTGTGAGGACGAGCTACTTGTTGCACGATAGATTTGGAGATGATAGTTCCCGCGTCTGAAATAATGTTATATGTGTAAATCTCTGAGCGTGAATTATATTAACCTCTTGTTATATATATATGAGACACAATAGAAAACACATTGTCTCGCGTAGAATTGCGTTCCGACAGTTCACAGGTTAAATGCCATTTTTAATAGGAGTTCAAGAATAGGAGCTTTTGGATTCTAATTGACTGATCCTATTTTTGTTCGGTATAAGAACCCTTATTATCACGGTGGGATTAGATTGAATTTCAGAGAAAATCGACCGATAACCTCGAAGTTGAGACAATTATTAAACGTCATAATATTTCATTAAATTGTTCAAAGTGTCTGATAGTGATCATCATCTTCGGGCTAAATAAAACTAACTCACAAAAACCTCTTGAATCAGAGTTGCAATCAATCAGTAGATAGTCAACACAAATAAGACGTGCCTAGTTAGTTGTCTGAATATGGTATTTCAAACGTATAGTTACTTAGTCATTTTTTACTTTAGTCAGTTTTTTGTCGGTCAATCCAATTGTCTTCCACAAGTCCCAAACGTCTTAAGTTTCATTTTAATTCGGCCATCTGCAAGATCTAACGATTATAATCATCAATTCAATGATCAATAAATAGATTGTTCTGAACTTGTAATCGAACTGAACGGAAGATCTATTGCAATTATATTCCATTTAGAATTATGATGAGGTCCACTTCACTTGACTGCACTTACGGTCTAATGTAAATAACGCAAATTAATAGTATTAGTCACGAGTGAAACGTGCACTGTTAGGGACTTTGGACCATTTAGCCATACAATTTGAAATTAAATTTAATTTGGTGCACTAAGTAGCTACTTAACATTGAAACTTTAAAAACTCTAGTTAAAATGTATTTAAAAAAGATGAGATAATCCCATCGAATAGGGAGCACACTCCTTACACCAATATAAGACCAAAATTCGTGACAGTTTAGCTATTCCGTTTTGAGTCAATCAATAATTAGTTCTCACTAGCAAACGTCAATATTCCGTTGTCGACAAAGACTTGTTCGTTATACCATATAAGGTTATTCACGAAGGAAACATAGTTGCATCTCAATCTAGCCTTCCTAGAGAATTCAGCCGCAATATTACGTATGTGCGAACTAACACATGTAGGGAATTGTTTCATTCAACTCGGCTGGGTGAACGTGAACACGGCTATCCATGAATACGATTTAAATCCCCATAACGTCGCTGTAATAGAATAGAAAATGAATGAGTAGGTTTATTGCACACGCATACACGCAATATTGAACGGAAAAGAGCTCAACGTGTATTCCTTATCACGCAAAACTGTTGGACAGATCTCAATGGAATTTTTCTTTCATTGTCATTTGTATGACGTGGAAGAGTCATATTGTACAGAAAGTAACTTTGAGACAGTGGCCGAAAGGCAGGAGTCAACCCTTGGTTTGTCTATCTTTCTTCTTGTATGATTCTTCTGCCTGTACTCTGAAGGTAGATTTTTGGAGATTTTTAGGCAACATTTTTACAGACCACAGCTGAACGTGCGAACTAGTAAATGGACCAATTCAGATTCGTTAAAAACTAAGGAAAGTTAAGAAGAGAAAAATGGAAAACGTAAAAGAAAATAACAGAATATCGTATCTCGGGTAGATAGTTCTTTGTTGATATGTCGGACGTAACCGAAGCTCATTTAGCTTTTCATATGAAAACCTTAATACATATTTTCGGTAGGGAGTTTTGGTAACGGTTGACGCATGTTGGTATGAATAGGCCGTTAAGTTAGGGACGGCCAATGTTTTGCACTGAATGCGAAAGAGCGAAGCGTCTCGCGATATGAAAATCGCACCATCATTCATGCCTTTCAGTGAAAACTGTTATTTTCTTTGAGAAGATAGATAATACTATCTACGTACCTATAACCGAAAAGTTATCAAGCATATGCTTGTTATATACCTGATGTATATCAGGGATCATTAACATTTACTATTGCCACTATCAATTCCATTATTGCTCTAGTCATTCAAACAATAGTAGAACAACAACTCAGTTCATAAAAAATGTACCACCTTAACAAAGCAGAGTACCAAGAGAAATATGAATAAATAAAAATGGAAACAAAGGAAATAACGTAACAGTGACGTCACGTTGAAAGTTGTGTTATCAGAACAAGATTTATAATGAAAGAAAAGCAATGGAAACTTCACCGGAAAATTGAAAAAAAAAACAACCGTGGTACGCCGGCGCGGGTGGCTAGTATATTATTTATCAAGCTTTAAACTTATGAAACCCGCAAACGCTCAAAAGTCGTGTCTGCCTTCTAGTTCAAAGAGGCAGTTAAACTTTAAGCCAAAAGGAACTTGTTAAACTCCTTTTACTGATGGAAATTCACGTTATCTTATTTGAGTTCATATTTAGCTTAAGCCCATCTACCTACTAACTTAATATATAGTTTACACATGAGTAGTTGCCTGTAAAATTTCAGGTTTCAAACGCCTAATGCCTAGTACTAGTTTACGGTTGGTTTAGGTACTTAACGCATAATGTATGTAAGGTCTTCAAGAAGTGACGGCACGCTGTATAATTATGATCTTTCGTTTCTTCCGTTTTGTCACGTCCGTAACGCTAGTCTGCTGGTCGTACAAAGAGAAGATTAATTACTAAAATACGGTACGTTCGTTTGTATGTAGGTATACTAATAATTTAGATAGTCAAATGACATTTGGTTATCCGTTTCCGAGTCTTTGCATAGAATCCTAGATATTTATCATTGATCAATTAGATTTTGTAAACTTTTACTGAGAAAGTGTATCGTGTTAACCAGTTCCATCGTTTCTGTTTTACACGTCCAGAACAAATTATAATAATAAAAATGTACTTACTAGTTTCTTCTTCGGCATCATCTGACAAGTCTGAAGACTTGTCCTCAATCTTCTGCAAAAAATAGAGAAAACAACGTATCAATAAAAGAAAAGTTTGCACTAGATGCATAGAAATGAAGAAACATTGCATTCTATTGAAATACACATACAAATGCATGCAGGTACAAATAGACATGATCTCCTTGAGTAGTGAGCAAGCCTAGTGACGACGGTAAATAACAAAATGTAGGTACACGGTGTAGATAATTCAGAACCCCAAAACAGGCATTAAGTATATAATAGTTTAGCATAAATTACCATTTAACGAGAATCTCCTTTGTTTATTAATTGTTTCGTTGTTGCAACAAACCTTGACTTAGTTGAGGCTTGAGGATATTTTGAACAAAATATTTTACTTACGGTAGGTATCTAGTACCTTTCAAAAACATTACAAGGAATTCGAAACAATTACTTAGAATTGTGTCGATTAATACGCAATGCTTGGAAATATACATACAGAGCTTAGATTTCTTTTGCGGAAGATTAAAGTGGTTATTTCGAACCAAAACCAAATAGTAGACAACTCTACTTCATAGTTGGAGTGAACAGTGTAGGTACAAGTAGTAGCAAAGTTACAGTTGGCCCGTTGACATTTCTGACAATATTTCTCATTTTATAAATCGTCAAGCTCTTTTTTCATTTTACAGTCGATGGAACTCAGCGCCGACCACAAGAGCTGAAAAGGGCTCTAGACGCCGAGAAACGAGAAAAAGTTAAATTAAATAATCAGCAAAGCTGAATCTGTGAATTATATCGGGTTCCATTTATTGCGAGTGTTTTGTAAAAAAATAACGTAAAGTTAAGCGATGCCGCAAACCGTGGCTGTGCGCGATCAAGCGGCTTAATGTTATTGGTATTATAAAATCAACACAACACCGCTTTACCGCGCATCAAAGCGGTTTTTATCACGTTGTCGTTCAAACATGCGGTCACCGCTATCACGCACTATCACGTCCTGCGGTATCATTAAAGCGTGCTATCACGGCTAGTCGTTTACACTCTACCTTATAACAAATTATCAGTTCCAAAGCCAGTCGAAACCGCTCAAACCACCTACGTTCTTTCATCGCACAAATTGCGTTAAATTAATTGAAAGATCGAAATAATAAAAAGCCAATGTTGATATAAAATAGCTCCACTTAATAGCGCGATTACTTTAATAACGCTGTTTAGGAGCTCAGCTTCAGTCCACTTAGAACTAAAACCCCGCTGATATTCGTCGTCAATAATATCTTTTCACTCATACCCAAACAACTTATAATAGATCATTTTATAACGTTTATAGGGTCCTTTGTCCGTTGATTGGTTAAATAGTTAGTTTTTATAAGTAGTTAAGCGAATTCAACTATTGACCGTTGTATTCAGTTTCACCTATGTAACTTAGGAAGAAGGTCGGTAGAATTTCGAGATGTAATGTAGCTGCTGTAGCATTTTGGTGTTGATATTTAATTGTAGAACCTCCTAAAGGCCGGAGACCGGGTGTTACTAACCGAGATTCATGAAATCTAACTAAGTAAATTTTCATTATTAATCTAGTTATGGGATTTCATAGTCTTCGATAAATGTAGGACCATATTACCCAACACGCGGTTTTGTACGACATCTCCATCGTGCAGATCAAAAACTTTAAATGTTTAAATGAGTGGAAAATGAAACGATATAAAATCGCAATATTCATTCATCAAAATTATTTTTAGGCGATGTAAGTTGTGCGTAGGTTTAAATCACAGACGACGAACTACAGTAATAATAAATTGAAAATATCTGTTTTCTGGTATAAGACTATAGATCGCAGCTCCACTCGTGTTCTCAAAAATAAATATAGGTATTAGCTTAGCTCTGAGTGCTCTGACTACACGTGTCAAATTTTTATCTTGATTATTATTTTAGGATGCCTTACGTCGCCACATTGTTGAGGTATAATGGTGGATAATACATGCACTGTAGACTAGACAGTATCTGATAAACGTGGAGACATACAGTCTCATGGTTGCGATAAGGAAACACACGCCTTTTGTCTGTGTGATGCAGACGCACTGATAAATTATTTGAAATGGATGAATAGATAATAAGGGTTTTGTTAATCTCGCAGCTTCGAATTAGAAGGAAGGAAATCGGGCGTCGAAAATCTTTTAAGTGATACTTTTCCGGCAGATAAATAAGGCTGCGGTGACTCAGGAAGCGCTACGCGTGCGAGACGGAACACGTATTTACAACCCGCAACTACAGCTTACTTGTTTTTGTCATTCTAAAGAGGTTCAATAAGCAACGTAAATAAATCAGAAAATATATTGACTATAAGGACAATAATTAAAAATTTATATTGCTTTGTACAACAACATTTAACTAGTCTTGAATTATTGTTTCTTCAATGCAGAAATTCTGATGCCATAAGTGTTAGTTCATAAGATTTAAAAAGGCATGAAGTAACTCGTGAGTCCTTGTGTTAGAAAGCTTACACTTTTACAGTTATGGAAGCAGAAATGCACTCCGCTAAGTAAGTAGGTACCTCACACGTGACGTCTTAGGTATTTCCTTAGTTTTTTAATTAATGTAGGCAAATTCGATAACAGTCATTAACATTAATGGTATTAGTCATAGTACGTTCATTATTTCTGAACTGTTGATTGCAGCACTGTTGCAATAGTTTACGTTCGATTGGACAAAAAGGATGTAAAATATTAAGAGAAATATACAGAGATAGCTCATCATGAAGATTAATTTATTCAGATTACTAAAATATCTATACAAAAAAGATTTTGCCAAACATAAGTAGATTTTTCATTCTAACCGCGATTCAAAGGCAAGGAAAAACAGAACAAGCAGTAAGTAGTGTCAAGGTTTAGGTTCGAATGAACATACAAACGTACATACAATATGTATGCGGTTACTTCAACAAGGAGAACGATTGGTATAAATTATCATTGTACTTCTATAAATACGTAAGGTATACCAGATATAAGGTATATACAGACTGTAGTGAAGTTTCCCTATGTGCTACGTAAACAATGCTGACGATTATGCTTTATTTTTGGACCGTTTCCATAACAATCGGGTATTTTATTGGTTTAAACCAAATCATGGAAAATGGGAATAACAAATTGGAATCATTTATTGTGGGAGATAGGTATCCGAGTGCCATACGAGGACTCGTATCCTTACATGTATTCATTATTTAATTAAACGTTTAGTTGGTAAACGTTTAAGGAAGAAGGAACGAGAATAGGTATTGGTTATTGGAAACTTCAGTTGCGATTGAATAGGTAAGTTTTATAACTTTAGGTACTTAATAAATCTCATGACGTAGAAGTTAGGCGCGAATACCTACGTAACGGATTACGAAAATCAGAACTTTTAAATACGTCATCAGAGAGTTATATTAATAGGCACTTTATTGCAAAATTGGGGTGGGCTACCGACGATAGAATAACAAAAAATGTATGTTTACAATAATTTGTTCATACGAACTACTGTAGGATTATGTTTTATTTCGTTGTTTATTAGAAGACTGCTTCTAAATAAACTCACGTATAAGTACAAGCCAGCGCGTCCGGTACAACGAATAAAATTGGGTGACCTACCGCATTGGGCACTGCTAACGGAATGAAATATTTTCAACCTATTTTCGAAGTACCCACCAAGTAATGACGTGGGTATATTTTTGATTTACTAGACGCAACGTAAGTCATTACTATATTTACTTGTTAGAATTTAAAACTTAATACTTAAGTTTCTGTGATACAGATATACTTTAGTATCTATACAGTTACTGGAGTTAGGTATTTTCTTACGGCTACATGTATCACATTTTCATAAGCATCTCTAAAATAAAGAAGATAGAGCAGAATCATTAAATTGTTTATGTCGCCTGAATAAAATTCAACAAAGCTTAGTACAACCTCATTAACTTTGAACTAAATAAACATAAAATAAAAGATATTAAGTTACTGCCATCTGTCTGTATTGTTGAAGAAGTTTGCGACACAGATGTCTCTGGAGACTACTTGATTATAATACGGAATGATTATAAAGTACGTTTGTTTGCCACGTCGTAAAATCAACAATTACAATGGCGTATTTGAATCCAAACGAGAACTAAATCTTGATGGTGCTGCAATTTATACGCCTTAGCCAATTAGTGGTGGAAGTGAATTTTAAATTAAACAACACAATATAACATAACATCACGCCTTTTAACCCCGAATGGGTAGGCAGAGGTGCACATTATGCAGTACAATGTAACACCCACTTTTCACTATTTATGTTATGAGTCCCATGTAATAGGGGGTGAGCCTATTGCTCATGAGTCCCATGTAATTGTAAATTAAACAATTCAGCTATAAATATTATAACATGGCAATAACGCTGTGTTGAAGTAGTCCTCTCATTTTTGTATAGTAGTTACTTGTGGGATATCAAAATAATTGACTTTATTCAAGCTTTCTTACTTCTCTGTCTGAAGGTAACTCTTCTACCAACAGTTTCGAGCCACGCTTGAAGCTCATATTCATAAAAAATAAAAATGATATAACTTATGTGGATAAGCCGTTTAACACTCTAATGACTGATTTACCTACGTGACCTTTACTGTTTTCGATAGTAGTACAAGTAGCAGTACAGGTTAATTTTAAGAAAACCTGGCAAGTACAATACATAGTACGTTAGCATGACGCTGGACTGGCTTGAATGTGCACCTTTAACAGCCATTTTTAATAACCTATCTATCTGTAGATTTGCTTACTAGAGATCGATAGGTTATTGAAATTGGACGTAAATGTGTTTTGCATGCATTGCGTGTAAGCGGCGGATCTGTGGCATTTTGTATGTTTAAAACTGCTAATTATAAGCAGTTAACTCGTCGAGTACCGGTTTTATAGACACAATTAAAGAACAATGGGTCGCGGTCACCGGTGACCGCTTGGTGTTTGACAGTTTAAATAAAACTGTTAATTGATAAATTAGTAGCATAATTAGGTACTTCTATATTGCATGGTTATACTTTCATGTTCAAGCCTACAGACACAAAATCATAATTTATTCGTAAATCGCTATTTTAGCGCTTTAAAGAACTACCAGATTTTTCACAATTGTTCAATTATATTTCGCATTAGCTCTAAATACTAAATACTTACTCATTTTAATTATTATTATTCAAGATCTTTCCTGCTACGCTAATATTGTGACGTAATAGACTAACAGGGCCGCAATCAATAAATTAATTAGGAATCTTCATATAAATTAGTCTCGGAGACGTTTTAGACATATAACCACTTATTGTTTTATTGCGACGCTAGGGAATACAATAACAACTTGCATGAATGTTAATGTTAGTCTGCGTAATCTATGAACTCGTTTATAATCCGACGAAAAATAACCAATCTGAAGTTTATCCTTTAAACTCCAGCTTATTCATCGATATGTTATTTAATGGGATATGTCTGGGTTAACGAAAGTCTATCAAAAGTAGTTCCGATGGAAATTGGCTGCGTATTAAGATTCGTCTAGTCTAGTCAGCGCGGTTCATCGGCATTAACTACATACTTTTCAAACGCAAACACTTTAAAGTATGTACACGTATGTTTTTACAGTCAATGTTTATTTCTCTTTTCTTTAAATACTGATGTATTAAGATCAAATTGTAACTATAATTTAGTAACGAAATATTGGACTAACTTTGTAATCAATGAGTAACACTGGCGTATTGACTTCTCGTTCACATTCTGTTGGAAATAAGACTGGATACATGAAAACCAAACCGTGCGTTTCGTCGGGGCTCCGTATTAGGAGCTGGAGTTCTATCACTAACCTAATCGGCTTGGGCACATAGAAGGGACAAAATCAACAAAGCTTAGGAAATACATAAGCCAGATTTAACGATAACCGTCTCCCAAACAAACTGCAACCGGAATAAACCGTTCGCGAGTGTTTTGTTACTGAACATTAGGCTCCGGGAGTTTTCACGTAGATGTGGGCCCGCTTCTACAAATATTATCAAAAATTTTCCGGTTAAGGAGTTAATTAAAATTTGGATTCAACTTCGTTGTCACCTGCCAACCCTTCTCTCATATTTTGGCTGTCGGCTTGTTGTATAACGTAACGCGGTTGAATATTTTACACGAAATCTTTTAGCCTGCCGATATATGAAGTTGACTTATGATACTTTTCCAAATATTGATTGGGTAAAGAGATTTTACGTACCTACCTACATTAAACGTAGAGTAGACACAAATAAATTAAACTGCGGAGATATTTTACTTTAGTATCTACTAAACGACTAAGAGGTTTGATTTCCAAAATTTTGTTAATATTGACCTAATTTACAGTGTATTAATTTCTGGGACGTTCTTCGTTATTTGAGGTGTATTTAATTTGTCAGTCTGACCTTATGATCGGATCTTAATAAATGAGCTGTCTGTTTTACAATTTGTCTCGATAACAGCCGATACAGTATGCCTAGAACTTTGGTTTTAAATACTGTTGCTTGTTTGAAAACACTTCCGCGAAATACAACTGTTATAGAGTAATGTTTTGTTTGAATACCAATAATATGGAGCAGTTATGATTATTTTGTTGAAGATTGGCGTTGATTTAGTTCAATAGTTAGATTGATTTGTAACAGACCGCATTTATTAATTGTGTTTTAGAAGCATATAGCGTCTATGCAGTTCTATTGATGCAATATTCTTGACGATTACAGACTCATTGCCTCCGTACCGTAGTTACTCACATTTTGGTAGCGGTACGTGCCTTTTACGTGACGTTTGAGGAAGTCAGATGTTGTACATACTTTTGACTTACGTCATCAAACAATGTTCAAATAATAAATACCTATCGTAATTCTTCAATTTATTTTTTTCCATGCAGCTTGACAACGTTTGCTGCGTTGTGTAACGTATCTACCTAATTATCTCCTCGTATTGCTAAACCGAACGCGAGTTAAGTCGCGTGTAAACATTAGTGTTGGTGGCTCGGTGCCCCTATTATTTCATTTACTTAAACGTCTATCATCGATAACATTACTTAACAATTTCCACTATTATTATGGATGCTAGCAGCGAAGGAGTTAACCTTTTAAGTATTTTCCTCTAGGTACGTTTATATGTAAACTAGATGTTTAATTGCTTTTATGTAATTATCAATGATTCTGTTATTTATACATGCTGGAGTGAATTACTCCTTTTGTAGAATGTAATCTTGTAAGTACTATGCTTTACTAAAACATTGACGTCATGCGCTCAACAAAAATGTGACGTAGGCGCAAGCGGCTGAATACAGGGGGAGGGGGTTACGCTGCTTACGAAAACTCATTGTTCGTAGTAACTGATTATAATGAATGAAAAGATAAAGTTTAAGGGCTACGTCATCTATAATGATACTTAGTTATCTTCCGTGAAAAATTAAACAGTAATAAATAATACCATATTTTATTATTCCGCCAAAAAAATTGCTAATATGGTACTTAGTTATGTAATTCGATTATATGCTTCGAAAACTCAAATAATTTATCCATCAAGATTTCCAATTCCCTTAGGTCAAACTTTGCAAGATATACCAAGTTTGACAGCCTCTAAGCATTTTGTTGGTCATCAATCATTTTTTTAAGTAGGTCAATATTTCTGAAATGACAAGTTTGCTGTACACAAACTTCTTTATGAATAAGTTGTAACATTTTCAATTCTTCTACATTGTTTTTTCTAATATTAGTCTTATTTGACCATAAAATTATATTCATTATGTTTATTTTTAGTTACAACATAATGTAAGGTACATAGACATTCTAAATAGACACTTATGTCCAGTTAGAAATATCCACATATTTTCTGATTAATAAATTGGTAATTCCTAAATTTATGGTTAAATTTTTTTATGAATGTGATTGTATGTAATTTAATATATTAACTGTTTTTAATATTTTAATTTAACATTGTAGTGTGTGGACATATTTATGAGAATTATGAGAACCAATGTCACCACACTTAGTCAGCGCATTCGGTTCTAAAAATACATTTTCTAATAAACTTGTTCACTCTGAACTAGGTATGTTTAGCATAAATGTATAGTGTCAAATACTGAAACTGAGCCAAATAATCATAAGCAGATTGTTGTTAGCCCTCAGAAATACATTATTTTAATGGTACCTTGTGGTAAGGCAGCCATTATATTATTATGACTTTATGTGTCCTGGCAACCTTAAAGACAGTGAAGGCCTTTTTACATTGGACTCAATTCTATTTTCAAAAGTTATTGTGTGTATTAGTTTTAATTATCTGTGCTTGTTTTCAAGGAGGTTAGTTGATTTCCATCTGACCAGTAATAACTAAAATTGTTTATAAACAGAATAATGGTGGTGTTTTGTTTTGGTAAAATGTTTTATTGTGAAAATAATAAGACGGCTTTTAATGATTATTTTTGGTGTTTTTAGATTGTTTTATGCTTGTTTCGATTTATGCTTTATGCCAATAAAGAAATTGTTGTTTTTATAGTTCTCCTTTGAATGTGAAGAACCATTTTGTCAGGTTAGAAATTCTTGTGTGTGCAGTAATTTAGAAAATTTAATTTAAAGACATCAGAATTTGACTTTATGTATATGTAATATGTAGTGAAATAATAACAGTTTAAAAAACTGAATTCATTGTTATTATAACATTTTAGTCAATTAATTTCCTTAAGCCCGGTCTTTATCGTGGCAAATGTCATTTGAACAATAACAAATAAGGGGCACATTTTAATTGCAACCAAAAAACAAAAATCTCATTCATTAGTAAAAACAGCTTCAAAATAGCATATTTACACTAATAGTGCAGTGTACAGAGTTCAACAATTAGCGGTGACTAAACTTAAAGAGAAACTATACTTTCACTGCACATACATATACAGCATAGACAACATATTTTTAAATAAACATTATAGAATACTATTGGTACAACCAGCCAACTAAGTAATGTGATTTCTAATAAAAAAGTGCATGTATACATAAAATATTAGCCAAGAAAAAAATACACATGTTTAATTAGCATACTACGGCGTTACGATGGTATACATCACAACATACAGTAATTAAAGCCAGGCAAACGTGTTGATGGGCAGTAATGCACGACACAAATTCACACAATGAAATAAACAATAATATGAATGAACAATACCTGCTTAGTGCTACTAAAGCGATGTTTAACTACGGTTAAAGCCAATACAAAAATTTTACCAGCGTGTCTTGGTCGCCCAACTCTCTATAGTAAGATTCACTGCTCCCTCTTCTGCTACCGACACACATCGCCCGCCTCAGCAGCCCAGACAACACTGAGCAGAATCCACATCTTTGCATATTCTGCTCAATTTTGTCAGTTTACTAACTAGTTAAAAGTCTCTCGGCGAAAACGCCGAGATCGTCACGACGACGAGATTAATCTTAAACACCTCCAAAAAGTTGATATCAGAGTAACATTTTGCAAATTTATAAATAATAACAGTACTTTTTTTAAACGATATTATCGAGACTCGGCGTGTCTCATATTTATTTCGTATGTACAGATGGAATTTATGGTATTTGCGGTAGGATACGCGATCGCGATAACAGTTGATTACGGTGTTAACGCACGACTACTAAGTCGGACGGCGCGCGGCCAGCCGCCGAGCGAAGTGCTGACAACTTAACGAACAGACACCGAATGAAGTCTAAACCAACACTGATGTTCCTCGCTCACTCTCATTCGCGCTGGTTTGTCGATTGCGCAGTGCAGAACCAGCATAGCCAGAGCTTTGGCCGAAGACAGAATAATAGATCTGCGCAGTGTAGAAGAACGAGATAGTCCGATACACGCGACGTTCCCAACTACATTGCGAACGTTGATTGGTCCTATGAAAGTTGCCGGTAGCTACTACTCACAGACTATATAATTTAAAGCTAGTTCTGTATAAGCTACGAGGTACTTAACAATACGTAATATTTAAAAAGCAGTTCTGTCTTTGTTGTAGTTCTACTGAATACTTCTGGAATTCCGCTCTTACAGCCGGATTGGAAGATTTTTTATAGGCCTAAGTATTTATTTGATATTTTTTATTTCTTTAATTAAATTGATTGCGATTGATCTAAATATTGGTCAAACAAATTGAATTAATTAGGAGACTGTTGACGTAAAATAAATGTTTTAAAATTCAGTAGGTAAATAGAAAAAATAAAATGAAGTACAAATCTTGCTGAAAAATTGGTGAACGAAATTGTTTTGACAGTTGGATTTGACAAGTATTCCTCACGTTCAGAAATTAACGTATTCTAGAAAAACAAAAACAAAATTATTATAAACTTGTAATTCTGGATGGGATTGGGATTACCCACAGATTTAATATTATACGTTTATGGGAACACCGAGCAATTAAAAATTTTACCTAATAAAATTAGTCCCTAGTTTTTTTAGTGTTTCTGTAAAAGTACATGTAGGTATCTTGGAAAAGATTCTGCCAATTGGTATTTGCCAGTTGCCAGGTTTTTAACGCATAACCTCATGATGTCATTGTGCGAACAACTTATTGGCTGTTGATATGGTGATATGATGTATCATAAGTGGAATAAGTGGTCACTGTTGACCGAAGGCCTCTTCTTGGACGGAGAAGCTTTGAGCAAATCACCACGCTTGCTCAATGCAGGTTGGCGATTTCAATAGAAAATTGTAAGCCCAGGTTTTCTCACTATGTCATTGGTGTCGTGATCATCCTGAAAGCATGTACGGACAAAGTCATATTCGTACTTCCCGTTGGTAGGTTTCGAATTCGAATTCTCGTGCATAAGAAGTGGGCGTCTTAATCCTCCGGGCCACCTCGACTCTTACTTGACTAACACTAAGTACTAACAACTTGCTGAAGGAATATTTAGTTGTTGTAATGTGTTTAAAGTATCTGAGGCATTAGATGTGTACTAGATTTGTTTATTAGCAGTTAGTTAGTACCTAGACCTACCTAAAAACAAAAAAGTTATGTTTACCATTATTGGATATTCCAGCTAAGCAAATGTGATTATTAAAATAAACCTACCTACACTAACTTGGTCCGTCAACAAGAATTGATGATTTTAGAATTTAGTAGGTAAGTTTCTTCCGACTGTAACTTACGATTTTCGGCTGTGTCAGTTTCGACTTTATTACGATTATTCCTTTCTTTCTGACTAAATATTTGGGCCATTTTCCGATTAGACGTTTCTAGAATATGTACCATGATCATCTTTATTCTTCAATAATTAGAATTAAACATAATAACTGCGAAACCGGCAATCATTGGTTATGTACATACTTGCCAACTTGTCAAATTCATTACTCTTTTCGAACTGTCAAAAACGAAAGTTTTCTATGAATTTTGTACGAGATTGTGTATTGTGGCATCACTTTTTTTAGGGTCAAACAGCAAACTTATTTTTTTAAAAATTTGCTGGAAAAATGATAAAATGAAGTAAATCAGTTACTGAAAGTGTAATTATTTTTTAATACCTATTTTATTGTAGTTAACAGTCGGATTAATTTATCATTGATTAAGGCAAGTAGGTACCGAATTGTTATATGGTGCATGATTAATTGAATTTAAATAAGATTAGTTGCCAACTCAATATTATTTAAATGAATAATTTAGAAAAATTGTTTGAATAAATAATGTTTAATTTAAATTACTTGACTTACGCTATGTGACATTTAAAACAAAAGCACTCAATGTCAATAAAGTCACTGTCAACTGTCAAGTTAATAGTGTTGCCAGAATCAATATTTTAAACAATGTGATTTTTTTACATATAGCAATATAATATTCTTGTGGCAATAATCAATAAATCTGAAAATATTCTTGGTCCTTCTATTTAGAATTTTATAATGTCAATGAACAAAATGCGTTCCATCGCAAATTGAAAACAATTTTGAGCAACATATTAAAACGCGGTAGATACTATTTTTACTTAATTATGTTATTTTTAAATAGGTAATACGACAATAACAATGACCATCATAAGACATTTTGATAGACGTATGATTATTCAACTTTTTGAATATCCTAAACTCAGGATAATCCTGCGAAATATAAAATGGTTTCGTGTTAAAAATACGTAGTAATATTTTATAGATAGGTTAAAACCAATAGGAAACGAGCAGCAATAAAACATGTTATTTCTTTTTTACTGCTTACAGGTAATGTTAAAATTATGCAAATATTGTGTATGACAAACTTATTTTGGCCCATTTTATGTCGGAAGATTAGGTAATTAAAAAGAAAGGAAAGGAAATCACGTTAATATTGATGAATGGTCTAAGAGTTTCAAGTCACCCATTATTGCACGATGTCCTGTTGCTTATAGAACCTATGTAAATACTCTAACTCTGCGCATGAGGAAGAGTGACCTTTGTTACTTGAAACTAGTAAAGCCTTCTTCAATATTTACTTGAGCAAACTGATACTTTTAATTAATTTAATATGTATCACTCACGATAGTTATTATCTCTGGGTTTTAACAAAATAAAATGGATAAAATAGAAAAGGATGACTCGATTTTATTGTAATCATAATCATGCAGGCACCGAAATCTTTATCTATCTAGTGTAATTTATTTTACGATAAATACAATTTAAGTAAGATTTATTTTCATAGAATTGCAGATGGATGCATTATATTCAACAAAATGTAAAATCAAAATGGTTCGTCGTGTTCACCACTCGTTAAGTACTGCTGCACCAAGTGAAAAAGTTATCATTTTCAAGTTCGGGGTTTATTTAGGTAGAAAAATACTTGCTATCCCGATATTTTTACACTTTTGGGACTGACAAGTGAAAAGATAGGTAGTCTGTAAAACAATGGTTGATGGTTGAGTTCATCAGCTTACTTAGATTGTGAAATTGGCGAGCTTTGTGTAAGTATTTGCTTACCAAGACCTAACAATCTGAAACTCTGTTTATATTGAACTGTGGGTCGCAGGTTGGCGCGGGTTGGTAATCCACTACCTAGTTACCAATATAATATACTTAATAAACTAAAATAAATAGTAAGGTGCGATATGATCGGATAAATTTATTTGGCATCTACTAAGGTTCACAATTGTCATCATAGGCTAATGTCTAGGTGTATGAGTGTGCACGTATGTGAATCTAATATAATGTACTGCACTTATTGCACTCCCGTTTATACAATTTAGATATTTTATTTAGAGATTGTGAATCGTTGAGTTTAATCAAGTAACTCAATCATTGGTAAGTACCTAAGTACACCAGTGATTACTAGTGATTAAATACTGAAACTAAAGCATGATAGAAGGAACAATATTTAAGAATGCAGAATCCATGAAAAATAACATGAATAAAACAAATTGAAATACAATAAAAAAACGAATAAAATCGATTCAATAAAATTGTAATAAAATAGCCGAAGAAACTTGAATTAGGCACAGAGCGAATATGAAAGTAGCATTATTCATAATTTTAGGAAAATTATTTTCAACTCTGAGCTTGCAGTTCACAACACAATCAGCGGTGCATTATCCAAATGGAACCGATGTGAATCAGGTGCAAAATGTTACTGTAAATCAAGCAGTCCAAATTCTAGAAAATGCCAACGGAACACACCCGGAAGAGAGTAAACAATTGTTAAAACGTTTGAAGTGGTTAATTAATACGTTTAACATCACTAAGCTAGTTTTGGACCGTGGACCTTTTAATGTGACCCACACAAACGTGTCTAACATCCACACCGGTCGCAGTGGAGGAAGTACCTTGGAAGAAAATTCTGAAGACGGCTTTTTACATGTTAAATACGCTATATTAAAATTTTCACGTTTTACATCGTCAACAGTCTCGCCGCAACCAGTCGAAGAAAAGCAACTGAGCGAAGCTTTGATTCGCAGTGAAAAGATCGCACAAATAATGGTTACTGAGAGCTTTGACTCTGACCGTTGACATTGTAACAATTAAAAAAGCGAATTCTATTGTAATACTTAAGCGTAATAAAATAAACCTACATCATTATAGAAAAATAAATTAATACGTCTTATGTTTTATTGGCCTAAAGAAACTTTCAACAAACTCGTAGAACTATATTCCTAAGGTTGTACACAATAATTTGATTAAATAAAAAAGGCTAGGGGTATTTTTCTATTATCTATATATATTCTGGTTTTAGGTAATAGGTAAGTACTTACTTAATTGAAATAAGCGCATTTTTTTAATATTTACCAACTTCATAAAAGGAGAGTCTATGATCGAATGATTGTTTTTCATGTATGTTACCGTTTAATCCACCATTAATGATTTATTATTAGATACTGATTTTCAAAATTCTTCTTTTATTCGAAAGTGTGTTCTTTTCATATGCACCAGATCTTTAAAAATTAATGGAATCTTTTAAAAATTACACAAGTGACTAGTGTTTTTGTAATTTTTATCTTTTGCTAAAGCAAAAGATAAAAATTCCAAAAATCGCCTCCAGACCTTTAGGTCTGGAGGCGATTTGATGATGGACCCGAAAGACAGTCGAGGTAAATTGCCGAGTTTGAGGATTTACAATAATGAATATAATTATGATAGCTAACGGAACTCCTTAATTTATTGATGAGAACTTTGTACCCATGATTTTAAGTTGTATAACTGGTCGATTTCAAATTTATAATTAAAAATTATAAGCCCAGATTTCCTCACTTTATTTTCCTTTATTGTATGTCACTGGTGTATAATAATCTTAAAAAGATAACTCTGAAAATGTAGGTTTCGAACCCGTACTTTCATGCAAGAGAAGTGGGCGTCTTATACCTCCGGGCCACCAAGACGAGCCGTTATACTAAGCAGGGAATACGGATGCTTTTAAAGGAAATATAATTAAGAGCACCAGTAAGATTAAGAGGTATGATAGTACTCTAGTACTATTTCGAAAAGAACATAAAATAGATCATTTTCAATGGATCGATATTTTTTTTAGATATGGCAACAACATGCTTTTTGACTTTGTGTCAAAGTCAAAATGACAGTAATGGCAGCTGTCATTCGATATGTTTGGTTCATTAGTTTTTGTTTTAATTGCTTTGTTAGTTTTTTTTACAGTCACAGAATATGTCTTAAGTATTGTTTACACGTTTTCTGTCTTTCCAAATTTTATGACCGTAGTACGTCTGTAGACCCTGAATGATCTGAAGCATATATTCATGTTAATTGCTACTGAAGTCCGAACCCCACCCTAACGATGGCGTCTTGAATGTATGTCGACATAGATCTGTCTCCTCTCATGTTATACTAATATCATGAGAGAAGATGACTAATCATTTGATGGCAAATGAAGGGTGAAGGCTAATAGCAACTTTGGAAGTAATTTACCACCATGGGAAAGTCACCCAGAATTATAAATCTGTTAATGTAAATGTAAAATTGTAAAAAAAGTAATAATGGAGTTTCTTGCTTGTTTTTCACTAGATAATAATCTAAATAATGGAACGATTAAATAACTTTACTAGCCAATAGTAGCGGCCTTCAGACATCCAAAAAGGTATGACTTTTTGGCCGTTTCTCAATTGAGATACAGTCACATTCTGAGGAGAGGAGTCTTTTTCTTATAGTAGGGTATATAAAATATTACACAGCACAGATTATTAGCTAAACTCTTTTCATCATCATCATCTCAGTTTTACTTTGGCATTCTTTATGGTGCTGGACCATCTTCCACCAGTCCGCTTTATTATTTGATCCTTAACTTCATGTTGATAAGGTTGTTAATCATATGTACTGACAGGCTGCATGTCCAGGAAAAGGAAAGGTATTTATGTATGAAGAATGGCAATGCCTCGTTATGAATGAGCCGACTTTGATGGACTTGTAGTACAGTCTCTCAAAAAAGTATTGTTAAACAACGCTTGTCCTATATTTGAATGTTGTTATGATTTTTGTATGTATGTTTGTATGTTAGTACTGTAAGAAATAATGAATGTAGTTTCAAGAAATATGGTAGTTCAATTTCTCGGTCTCCAATGCCCGATAACATCCTCATGAATCTTCTGGTGTTCCACACTATTCTTTTCATGAACTATATTATTATGTAAATAAAAGAATAATTTATTAGGTAGGTTGTTTTCTGGGTACATACAAACCTCAATTTTTACTATCAATCTTAGATGTAGAGATCACAGTCAGTAATTAAATATGTATAGCAGGGTCACTAAAGCAATTAATTTGATTTTAGAATTTTTTTATTGTGTCCTTTTGCAGTCCCTTTTTATTTTTACCTTTTTATTATGTGCTTGTCCCACGGTTCTTTGAGCCGCGCGGAACGCGAAGCGCCGTACGCTTGGGTACCCGTTTATGATACCAACCTATTTACTACAAAAGAAGAAAAGAAGAAAAGTCAGTATAAATACTTAGGTGCCATTTAAGAACAACGCAGTCGAAATCACATTTTTTTTACTATGGTTAAAGATGTCAAGCCATTGTTTTCTAGATAATGGAAGCTGATGTTAATACAGTTGCCATAACGATGACCTTAGTCCAAACCCGGTTAGGTCAAAGTTTTGTTACGTCTTGGCGCGCGTCCATTCCCTCCTAGGCTATATTTATTCCACAATGATACACATAGGATCACTATAATATGTTTATTTTTAACTCTTGTAAATGGGTCGTGCGTATTCCTTCACTATTTTGGAATTTTCGTAGTTTATACTACAAAAGTGAACTACTAGCCTATATTCTACAGCCTACTTACCTACCGCAATATATTACTGCTTTGAGCAGCTTGTTTCCTACGCATATAGGTACTGTACCAATACCAGCGCAGCTGTATTAACTATAGTACTGTTACGTAGTAATTAAAAGTACTTAAAATTTGTGAAGTTTTGTCCATTTTGTTTTGGCAGTTTTTAGATTGTTGGTGCTATATTTAACTACACTAGGATTTTGTCGTGGATGCGCTTACATACACACAAACTCCCATTGACATCACACCTGACCTACAATTTATGAATCACATAGAGTTGTTGTATACGGGAATCGAACTTGCGACACATTGCTCAGCCACTGCGCCAACCGTGCAGTCTAAGTCAAATGTTCATTTGGGTTCATAATATGTTACATACTATGCTCAAGCCCTGCTAGAGGCTCATATTCATTAGCAGCTTTCAGCGACCCGCGACGCGGCGACTGTCGCGCTGCTACTGGTGAAACTAGTCGAGTTCCTCGTCAACCAGTTACTTCAGTAAGTCGAAAACATAATAATTAATTTAGTAGATAAGTCTCACGAAAGTTTTAATATAAATACTGCGTTCAAGTTACAAAAACGTGTAGAAATAAATATTATAGCACATCTAAGTATACTTATGGTTGGTACCTACATAGCACCCGTATAGGCGCCATCCATACATTTCTGGATTTTTTTTAGAAAGGAAGTCTATAGTTAGCAACAATCTTACATTACGGGTACTCGGGGTACAACGTCATTGCAATCGTAAATAATTCGCTTACACAAGCGTAACCTTTAAAAATGTATTTGTGAAAATTACGGACAGAAATATTATTTTTTACCCTTGATGTAAACAAAGGTTTTTAAGGAAATTGAGTAAGGTTTCTTTAACATTTAAGGTTAAATAGAACCCCTTCTTGAACTTGAAAGTTTGTCGAAGCCCAAGTCCAAGTCCAAGTTTGTTTCAAGGCTTTTATTATTGTTATATTAATTTGTAGAGATGGCTATGGTTCATGCCGAGAAAGGAGTTACTAAAAAAAATTAATCTTTTCAAAATATTATTTCACCAAATCCAGGTGCAGCAGCTAAAAGAATACGTTTTTATTTTCGGTTTTTCGGAAATTCTCGCTACAGAGTCTGAAGGTAGCAACAAACAGAAAATGATTTTCTCGGTGTTTCGGAAATTCTGCCTTCAGAGTCTGAAATGGAACCCTGAGTCTATAGCATAAATGACGGAAAGTAACCCCTGTTTAGTTAGTTCTTCTGGCCTATGCCTAAATTCCATTCATAAACGTACACAAAATGCAATAAGAAGCGGACTATTTGATGCATTCCGTCTATTAATTGAACCGTTTGGCCGACTACAAAAATGGTCGATTAGTCGGCTTTACCGAATTTCCGTTCCGGTCACATCTCTAATTGTGTGACAACTTGATCTTAATATTACGCTACGGAAAATTACTGATTGCGTATCACGTACCTAACTCAGTTGCGGCATTAGCAGTTGAATTTTCTTTCACAACTTTCATTGTTTTAATGTTATTTGTGATTCATGAATAGAGGAGTTCGTAATGACATTATAAATAAAGAGGGAAAACCTTAGTACCCTATAGAGTAAACATGAAACAAAAATAACTTTGTTGTAGTTAAACCCCTTTACTTAATTTAACCATTTCCTTGTTTGGGAGCTATGTATTTCTAATTATAATAATATACAGTAGGTACTTACGTAATAATAACAGTAATTGTACCTATAGTTTTTACCTATCCAATCACTTACTTAGGAACCTAATACTAAGGACTATAATCAATGGGAAAACCTCTAAGGTATCACTCAGGTGTTGCTGAATATTTCAATTTCTCAGCAAATAAAGTTCAGCACAAACTTACTCGTATTTGATTAGGTCTACATTACAACTACGCAATTATGATTTTGGATTATTGTATTTAACTGTACAATTCTGCATTGACTTTTGCTATTTGATTTTCTTGTCTCCAGTTAGAAAAGCAAACTTTGTCTGCTGCTGAGAACAGCTGAAATTATACTTACAGAAGCAACAAAGCTTACGGACCGTGTGATGGTAAATAATCACTGTAGATCGTGCACCAGAGGCATCACGAATGCGTTGTCGGCCACGGAGGACTTTAATCATGTACGTTTTTTTGAAGAACCCTTTGCTCTCATAGGGAAACCGCAGAGATTTTCATTATCTATAGTTTAACAGTTTATACCTTCATAACAAAA